CACTTTAATAAGTAAAGCAAAGGCCAAGAGCACAAACAAAGCCAAACAAGGGATTCATTTGCCACTTGCCACAGGCAGATGCTGAGCCATCCCCAGGACAGCAGGGCATGTGTAACGGTGTCTTCGTTGCTCCAAACATCTTTCCTTCTCCTTCCCACAGCTTTGTATGATGAGCATGGCACCATATGGAATGGGATATCCCTTGAGTCGGTTGTTTTTTGTATGGAAATGATTCAGACTTATTTTTCTGACTCTAAGAAAAATGCCAATACTTATATGCCAAATAGCAGTATTTCTGCATTTTTAATAGATTGTGTAAATCATTGCCCCTCCCTCAGATATGTTTTTAGTTTTCTAAATGCTTAAGCTTAATGACTTTATTCCTCTCACGACTTCTGATCATTCTTATTCCTTGCGGGGAAAAGGCAAAACAAAACAACCCAAACCCAACAGCTGTATCTCTCTTCCTAGTATAATTACTCTGCATGAACAGTCTGTTGCCACATAACCTAAAATTCTTCTGGTTTCTCCATGTCATCATTGAGCTTTCTGTTTGGCTTTGTTATGGGAAGAATGAAAATTGACATCTGGTAAACATATATTAAAACATTAAATGCGATCAATTTGAAACAATTTCTTGTGCTGAATTCACTCAAAGTAGCAATTTAGCCAAATGTTCCACAGAAGCTTTTTTGCTGATCCATACATAACTCAGTGAGAAGTAAATGGGCAAATGTTCTTGCTTGGGATTTCTCTTTTCTATTTTTTCCTCATACACACTGTTCTAGTCATAGGTTATTTTCTGCACTTCTATTCTAAATGCAGTGGTAGAATGTAGAATGCCATCCAGACCTAATACTTGGTGCTACTTCTATTCTAAATACATTGGTAGAATGTAAAATGCCATCCAGACCTAATACTTGGTGCCTTTTCAACTTTCTTCATTGCTCAGTTTGGTGTTTCTGGCCCATAATTCCAATACCAAGCAGTGGATTTAAGGTCATTATCTGCACTACCTGACATGTCCTTGAAGACTTGTATTGTTTAAGTTCTGGCTCATACAGATACTGGTATTTTGATATACTGATTTCCATCGTGCACATTTTCAAAAGAAATGAAAAATTGTTCTTTGTTGAATTAAAATTGAGTGCCTTGTATTACGAGAGTATTGCACTGATTTGGTTGTATTGAAAATTGAAGAGTCATTTTATGAGTGGCATATGACTATACATATTAGGCCAGAACTGTCATATTAACCATATCTAATTATGTTCTTTAAATTATCAAAACTATTTTCATCCTTCTTTCTGGTGAAACGTTCCTGAAGTGAAGACATAAGTAAAGTATAAAGGATATTTTACAACAGTCTAGTAATTCTTGAAGTTATTGTGAAGTTATTTATGAAGAATAAATGCCTGAATTTAGAGGCTGCTGGAAAATCACAATACAGGCTTAAGTAGAAATTTGCCTGATAAATTATAACTCTTGTAGTTTTCAGTAGCACAAGAAAGGTTTGTTACCCCACGTTTGGCAACTTGTGATACCAGTGTTGTTCTGGTACTTCTGATATATAGGGAGAGCTGTGTTTTACTTCCCTAAGTTAAGTAATTGAGTATTTGTTTTAGGCTCTTTAATTGACAAAGTAAGTTTCAGAAATAGGAGTAGGCCATCTCTGCTCAGACTCCTTAATAGTGGTATGTTCCAGACTCGTAACTGATGAGAAGTGGTTACACAGTGATCATTTTAATCTGTTGCAAATTTAATATGAACAAATTTTTATGAGCTACAAAGTAATTTGAACAGGTGACAACAAATGGCAACCTTAAATTTGCTTTCTGATGGTTCTTGAGTTTAATAATTATTCATTAATTTGGAAGAATGACATACCTCTGCTGACATTGTGAAATATAACTTTTACAGTTCAAGTGTTCCACTTAAGAATCGAGTAACTTGTGAGTAGAGTTCCTTGTGCATTTTTTTTCCTGTGGTGAGTCAATTCACTCTTGTTGGCATGAATGGTATGTAGTAACTGGTTGAAATGTAATCAAACTAAACAAAAGTCAAATAAATGAAAGAAACATAGTTTCAAGGGGAACACTAATATTGGGAGTATTTGCTGAAATTGACTCTGTGTGTTTGTGTAGGCTATATAAATATATATATATATATATAACTTCTGTGGGATTCTAGGTAGATGTCAAATGATTTGGCATATAGTTCAGAATTCAGTGGTTTTCACTGCACTCATTAGCATTCAGAAATACATTTGAATACATACCTTCCAGAATGCAGATCACTTCCTGACAAAAGGAGGCATCTGCATTTAGTCTGTGCTTTTTAACCTTCTTTGATCTGAAGAGTGTCATTGTCAAACCTGCTCTCCAGCCCCTCATGGTTCCAGAGCTTTACTTATTTGCCTTGGTGACTCATACAAAGTGCTGCTTTTGTTTACACTGCAGAATCAGCAGTACTCAGAGAACTAGCTTTCCTTTTGAGGGAAAGCATATTATTTAAATTCTACTTGCCATGCCAGTTTGTGCCTTGGCACACAGAGTTTAGTAGAATGATTTTCTGCGAGGGTGTCACAAAGACTGTAATTTTGCTGTGAAGGTCATAAGGACTAGGGAGAGAAGTTCCCACTCAGTTTTGCATGTGCTTTTAAAATTTCATCACTTTCAGGATGTAACTCTTTGTTTGGGTGGGTTCTGTGTGTTTGTTTTGGTTTTTTTCTGAGCTGGAACTCACTTTATGCAGAAACTGGAAATGCCATGGAGCACCTTCTGGATTAGTTTTGGAAATGAAAAGCTTTTCTTTTTTAATGGTACAGTGGAGCAATAGCTTGAAGATGTCAGTTGTTACTTAAACTGGTTTGGCTTTTTTGGACTTGATCATTAGGACAAATTATGTGCTTGATTATGATAAACTAACATACTTTTTCATGTTTGATTCAAAGGGGATTTGTGTTCTTGCAGATTACAATAGGCCTTAGCTTCAAGCTGGTGGGTCTTCACTGCCTGATCTAACTCCCTGCTCTGAGCATTCAAAACCAGTGGCAGATTTGTACATCTTCTCAGGTTTAGACAGATGGAAGTGAGAAAGACGAATGCACTGAGAGTGTGTTTTGTGCTTCAGTGAAATGATAAATTCGCCCTATTAATTCTCAATATTTATTCTGACAGGTTTAGCCTGATGGAAGTGAGGAAGACAAATGCACTGAGAGTGTGTTTTGTGCTTCAGTGAAATGATAAATTCGCCCTATTAATTCTCAATATTTATTCTGAGACTACAGTGTATTTTTTTGAAAGACAAACACAGTATTATTCTTTCAGGAACAACATGTCCTTTGTCTCTTTGACAAAGATTGTTTTAGGTTTTTAAGCCTGGCTTAGTGATATCTTGTAGCTACACTAATTAGGGCAACTAAAATATGTTTTGTGGGTGTGTCACTGGGAATGGAAGTAGCAGAAGATTTTGTCTTCTTTACTGTTTTTCATCTTCAGATGGAAAGACGTTTTTTGGCTGTTAAAAGATTCTACATAGTCTATTCTCTGAATAGGAAAAGATAGCTTTAATGAGGAGAAACTTACTAAGGTACCTGTTCTAGTTTTTTGTATATGTTATTTTATTTTAAAACACTTGAAAAAAGTTTGTCTGTGGTTTCCATGGCATTTGTGTGTATATTCACAGATAACATATGTGGGTGCATTAGAATCAGACTCTTTTTGTCAGATAGCTGTTTCTGGTTTTGAACAAGAGCTTAGTTTTTGTCTTAATTGTCAAATGCACATCCTTAAATCTTCAAATAGCATATCCAAGTACAAAATTATCTAATTAAATATACTTGTAATTATTTAAGAATTAAAATCTAAAATAATGTTATGCATTACTCCACAGAAATCAAATTTTTGGCAGCTATCTACTAAGCTCTTTGTTTCTGAGTGCAACTTGTTCATGGAAAACATGTTTATTGACCGTACAAATTTGTGTTTGTCCTTCTGGCTTTCAAAACTTTAGTACATGAAGAAATAAAATCCTCAAGTTAACTGCAGTTTCATCTAGAAAGCTGCATGCAAAATAGAATAGTACAAAAAGTTACAAATCACTGCGTGCAAAGACAACAGATCTGCACTTCAATTAATATTCTTGTCAAATTCACCCAGCGAATATAAAAACTGCTGAATGAGGCACTTGTACATATTTTTATCCCCTTCTTCAGCTACTGACTTGGGTAATGAAGTGTAGATGTGGCTGTTACATGCCAGTTGGAAGGGAGCCAAAGCAGAGATGTTGTTTGTACATGTGCAGATGTTGGCAGGATTCCCTGCACTCCTGTTGTCAAAAGATCTTTTTATTGCCACAGAGCTATAAATATATCCGTGTTACAGAATGGCATGCAGATATTCTACTGGTAATGTGAAGGATGTTCACTTCTTAATAAGCCAAACTGCTCTTAGAAATTGTTGTGCGAGATAAAATTCAGTGTACACAGTGCAGGAAGCATAATAGATGTGTTTTGAAGATCAGTGACTAACACTGTACTTGGGAAATTGGTTTAATCCATTACATAAATCCCAACTC